GCAATAAGTTGAAGGAACACTTAAGAGATTTTGGTGCAGATAGAACGCCAGACGTGGGTGGAACGGACATGAACCGATTGATGGTGTAAGGAAACATCATAATTGGCATAAAAAGAGTATCTTTTGGGATTTTCCATATTGGGAGACTCATTTATTACGGCACTGGTTAGAAGTCATGCATATTGAAAAGAATTTATTCGACAATTTGATGAACACTATCCTTGATGTCCAAGGCAAGACGAAGGATAACTTGGAGTCAAGACTGGATTTGGTTGATATGTGTGCTCGTCCTGTACTTCATGTTGATGAGCACGGTAAAAGTCTTATTCCCATATATCGACTGGATGCAGCTGTGAAAAAATAAGTTTTTTGATCGGATAACACACAGTGTTAAATTTCCAGACGGTTACGCATCAAATTTGCTTAATTGTGTTGACAAAAGTGAAGGGAAGTTTAGTGACTTGAAGAGCCACGATTGTCATGTAATGATGTAGCGCCTCCTTCCTTTTGCGTTTTCCGCACTATTGTCACGAAATATCCATGAAGCAATCGCAGATACTTTAAAATTTAACATAGTTAATTAATTGTCATATTATTTTTAATGATTATATATGGAATTTTTTCTTCTTTGTGTATGTATGGATAAGTGCTTTCTTCCGTGATTTATGCTTGATATCACTCACACCAGATGGTATTCACAATTTGGAAGTTAAAATACTGGTGATCCTTTGCAACCTCGAGAAGCTATTCCCTCCTACCTTTTTGATGTTATGGAGCATCTTGCTATTCATCTTGCGAGAGAAGCAGCACTCGGTTGTCCTGTGTAGTATAGGTGGATGTATTTGTACAAATGGTATATGTATTATCTGAAGAAAAAGGTCAAGAATTTAACCAAGGTGGAGGGATCAATAGTGGCTCAGTGCATCAATGAAGAAACCTCAAACTTTGCTAAACACTACTTTCCATCAGAAGTTCGATCAAAAAGTCAAAGACCTGCACGGCATGATGATAGAGGTGAAAGGGCAACTTATTATGTTTATGTGCCAAACATATTTACACAAATTGGACGGCATAGTGGGAAATCAACGGATCGGATACTTACGGTGGCTGAGCATGCTCATTTTCACAATTATTTGCTTAAAAACTGCGAAGACGTTCTTGAATATGAGAGGTACGTAGATTCAAAACTATGAATTATTTTCAATATATTTACAAATATCTAACATCTTGTGTTTTTTTTTACAGTATTTACTTGGCAGAGATGCACTTAAAGTACCCGGATGTGACGGAAGAACAACTCGAACAACTCAAGCCAAACAACTTTGCAACATGGCTTTTCGATTATGTAAGTGTATCATAAGTCATTAGTAGTAACTAATCGTTTTACTTATTTTCTTTAATGAACGATAACATATTTCTTGTTTATATAGGTAAGCCATTGTTTAGCTATTGGGCACCCACCTAAAGATTGGTTACATGAGATAGTTTTTGGTCCGAAATTTGTTGCGAAGTCATATCTGAGATATTGCACTCGGGGATATGTATTCAGAGTTCTTAAGGAAAATACTGCGAGGAGAACAGTTGATTGTAGGTTTTCTTCGTCATCCGGAGAAGATGTGTACTACGGTAACGTACGCGAGATTTTAGAAATCCAGTACCCGGGAATGATTGGCATGAGATGTACTATCTTCTACTGTGAGTGGTATGACAACGTTGATGGTCGCGGAGTAAGCACTAACGCATTCGGTGTTACGTCTGTACATTTGCGACGACGACTGGATTATTACGATCCATTCATTCTTGCTTCACAAGATGACCAGGTATGTATTTTATGAAATATATTTTCCAGCAAAAGTAATCATATATAATTACTTCGACTTATATAATTTATGATATTTTAGGTTTGTTATATTCGTTATCCACGGATTAGGCAAAGGAACGATCCTTGGATCATTGTGATGTCAATAAATCCTAGAAGCCGAGTACAAGGAGTATTTGATCCACTACAACAACGATTAACCGAAGAGGATGGCGAGATTGGAGAGTTTGACGAAGACGATTCAGATTCATCATGTTCATCATCAGATAATCCCTCAGAAGCAGAGTAGATCTTTTATGAGGAAAACTGTTTCTCGTCCCTGTACGAGGACCTTACGAGGAAACTAGTTTTTCACGTAAAACCGAAGTAAGTTCGTAGTAAATTTACGAGGATTTATTTTCCTAGTAATTTCTTAGTTTTCTTGTAGTGGAATGTAATTGCGAATTAATTTTAAACGTTTTATATGAATTTGAGGTTTTAAAAGTTGTATATTTATTAAACAAATTATATGGAATTGAGGTTTTAAACATTGTAAATTTATTTAAAAACAAATTATATGGAATTGAGGTTTTAAACATTGTAGATTTATTTTTAAAATAAATTATATGGAAATGAGGTTTTAAACATTGTAGATTTATTTTAAAAACAAATTATATGGAATTGAGGTTTTAAACATTGTAGATTAATTTTCAAAACATATTATATGGAAATGAGGTTTTAAACATTGTAGATTTATTTTAAAAACAAATTAAAAAAAAATTGCAGTTTTTGTCGGAAATCCATCGGAAAATACCGAAGGAAAACAGACGGACTTAATAATTTGAGGTTTCCGTCGGAAAATACCGACGGAAAACCGACGGCCTATAGAATTTGAGGTTTTCGTCTGTTTTCTGTCGGTATTTCCTGACAAAATACCGACGGACATAAGAATTTTGAGGGTTTCTTCGGCAGTCTGTGTGAAAATACTGACGAAAAACCGACGTACTTAAGAAATTTGGGGTTTTGTTTGGTTACAGGGTATGGGTTTTGTTTTCAAAAGGATTAGGGATCATATATAAGCTCAGAAAATGAATCTTAGTATCAAATCCTCACATTTTAACATTTTGAACATTAATTATTAATCATCGAATCAAAACCATAACATATAAAGTCATACACTTTAATGTGGGTTATGCTTGATTGCATAAGTTATACTCCTCTAATTAATTTTAATTTCTTTTTGATAAGTTTTTTGATTATATAATATAATCTATCTATTCAAAAGGCATTTACCAATTTGTAAACCAATTTTTAAAGCATTTAACCACAACCCGTCAGTATTTCGTCGGTATATTATGACGAGTTACCGACGGATATAGTTTCCTAACGAATTACCGACGGAATATTCTGTCAGTATACCAAAACAAAAACCGGGAAAGACCGCGCTAAAATTTTGGTTCACTGTCCAAACCCGTCTATACCGATGACTTTTTCCGTCAGTATTTTCTTGTACATGATTAAACCAAAAACCGTTCTTTCTTTCCCATTTTTCTCCCTTTTCTCTCTCTCTGCCGGCGACGAAATCGGTGTCTCTCCATCTCTTCCAGCGATTTCTTCACTCTCTCTTCCTAATCATGTAAGTTTGCTCTCCCAATTTCTTTGTTTACGGATGTTTCAAAGTTAGTTTTTTTAGGGTTTGTGTCATTGAAAGATTGATTAGGGATTTGGAAGTTAGATCAGGGATGTAGATATAGATTAGGGCAGAGATTGATGTTAGAACTATGGATTGAAGTTTAGATTAGGTTTTTTGTGATTGAAAGATTGATTTTGCATGTTTTTTTTTCCAAAATTCGAAAATATTTATTAAGAAAAACGTTTTCATGTTATTTATATGTTAAAAAGATTTTCATATTATTTAAATACTAATAAAAACGTTTTCATATTATTTAAGTATTAATAAAAACGTTTTCATATTATTTAAAATAAGAACAATGTTTTCATATATTTAAATATTAATAAAAACGTTTTCATATTATTTAATTATTAAAAAAAACTTTTTCATTATATATATATATATATATCGGAACAAATAAAAACATTTTCAAAAATATTTTCTTAATTATTATAAGATAAGTTAAACATGTTTAGTTATAAACTATCAATATTTTCTATTTATTATTTTATATGTTATGTTTATTTTCTATTTATTGTTTTATAATTGTTATTAACTAACCACGTTTTTTTTTCAAGGGGTGAATCTCCTCCTTTTACACTTAAAATTAGATGTTGTTCCCAATCTCGGGTTGGTAGTAGTAATTCGGCCCGGGGTGGTGGTAGTAGTTCGGTCCCTCCGATTACTGCACCCACTACTATTCATGTTTCAGCTACCGCTCCATCATCCCGCACCCCTCCACCAGCCCACACTCCCACTTCGGAAAGCTCAAGAGGAGTATTGCCCACTGTGATGAGCATTGAGGAGTTGGTTAGTCAACCTGGCCGAGACTCGCTCACGCGCCTCGATCCAAATTTTCTATATGTCCCAAACACAACATGGTAAATATCTCTCTTAGATTTTATTTCATTTTATATTCAACTTCTACTATTAATTGTGTTTGATTTTATTTCACAGGTTTGAATTGTCTGACAATGGTATCTCTCAGAGTCTTCTTAGGATGGAGTAAAACTTACTAAAGCGTGGTTATCCTACTTACTACGACATGCCTACGGCAGATCGCGACCTCTGGTTTCGTTAATTTACAGTATGAGTTCTCAATTTTATTTTTTTGTAAGTCTTATATTTGCAACTTTTTAATTTGATTGTATTTATTTTGCAGCAAAAGTTCACTTGGGAATCGGGGTTAAGAAAACAGGTGGAAAATAAATTTCATGAGAAAGCGGCTCGGCATTACACCAAGCGTATCAATGAGTGGAAGCAAAAGTGAGAACTTGACCAGGTACCGAAGAACATGAACCCAATCGTTTGGAAGGATTTGCTGGCTCATTGGGCGAAAGACGATACAAAGTCTTTGTCAGAAACCAACTCGGGTAATCGGTGTAGTAAGCGTGGCGGGAAAGGGGCTTATGTCCACAACTTAGGAGCAGCGAGTTTAGCGACTCAAGCACTTCAGCTAGTAAGTTTTTAGAATTTTAATTTCTTATTAAATTTTAAATACTTGTTACTTATTTGTATTGTTTTTAGAGGATGGAAAACAGCGGGGTTCCTGTCGATGATTCTAAGTTTTTGAGGTCCGCCGACACCAACAAAAAAACTGGCGAGATTCAGGATCCAGTTATCAAGGAGGTACTCCAGTTTGTGGAGAGTCGAAAAGAAGAGATCCTTTCCACTCAGGCTTCTATGTGTGAAGACGGATCTTGCGCTTCTTCCAACACCATAACCGTAGAGCAACTCAACAACCTTGTTCTCGAGGTACATCTTAATTTTTTTGGAATTAATATGTGTACATGTGTGATTTTTATTCTAGCTTATATTATTTTTCATTCCGCAGGCGGTTCCAAAGAAGAAAGACCGCTATGTTGGGTTGGGTCGTTCAATCGGAGGGACTTCTTCTTCTTCAGCTCACGTATACCCACCCGTTGATGACCTTATGGAGCAGATCAAGACCAAATATTTTTCTGGATTGTGCTCGTCGGTATTCTGTCAGAAAATTTCGAAGAATTACCGATGAATTTTTTTTTTCCCGACGAAATGATACCGATGACTATTTTCGTCAGGATTTTGTCGGAATTCATGTTTCCTGATCGAATTCCGACGGTTTTTTTCGTCGGTATCCGGCAGTTTTCTTGTAGTGATATGCAACCCTCATTTTTATTACCAATAAAAAAGATAACCCTAAGCGAAGTGTGGTGTTGAATTTAGACCAAAACAATTGTGGTGTGGAGTGACGCAATATACTCTCTAATCACGAGTTGAGCGTTGAAAGGTGGAAGCATTGATGCAAAGCAAGTAGGTCCATAAAAGTTGGTGCCTTCTTATTCAATTGTCCTTATTTCGTTCCTCCACTGAGACTCTTTAACATGGATGTGCTCACTGCTCATTTATTTTTATTTAAATTGCATATAACAATTTGAAATGATGAATGGAACTGGAGATGGTCAATCAATCTTTTTTTTTAATATGTGGCATATCAGCTGGTCGTAGCCTTGGATCAACCGAAAAGCAAACCTACATTTTTCAGCCACTACAAAATTATAAATACGTTCCAAAACATAATCTAAAAGTTGACATAAATTTCTCCGAGCATAATTCTTGTTTTGGGTAGCAAAAACTAAGGAACATAAAAACTTGTTAAGCCGATAAACAAATTTAAGCTCATAAACATCATTATACGAATCCGGGACTTTGTGGTCAAGTGATAAGAGAATAAATTTGAAATACCAACACATATTATATTTAATTCATTGTTGCGCGAAACTAAATTATATTATTCACAGACAAATATATTAGATCATCCATTTATGGTCCAGTTAAATATTCGAAGAGAGTATATCCGTTGATTGCACAGTCTTTTAAGGATTAGTTTGAATTTTTGCATAGAACACGGATAACCACAGATTAACAAAAAAAACATCAGTATACCTATGTAACTATATCATAAAGTTGATATGTGAAAAATAATGAGTTGTGACATGGAGAGTACGAAATAAGGAAATGGAAAGAACGACAAAGAGGTGTGCGGAACTGGGGTTGGTGCCCAACAAAGAAGAGACATCTAATATTATGCTCTCTACGTTGGGATCTTTTCTAAGTGACCCACTTTTGTTTTGCTGTCTTATTTGCATATCTCACTTTCATATTTCATCGATCTACAACTATAAACCATGCATCCCCATTTTACCCTACCATATGCTCTACATCCTTACGTGCGTTTCCATATACATAAGCTTTATATGATATTATATTCATATATAATATTTTACAAATTAAATGGATTTTTTAAATGAAATAAGAGAAGAGATTTAAGGATCATACACTTCTATTGTAATCGCTTGTTCAATTCATGTTTGTGATCTCACTCTTTTCACACAACCAATCATTTCTCGACATCTTTGTACATATTTATACGACAACCAATTCAGCATATCATATCGTATATATCTTACAGTTGATCCGATCAAATATTTTGAGGAAATAAATTCCAACTTAAAACATAAAATTTATGATATTTTATACCATAAACAAGAAGTTAGAAGAAAAGATCCGTTTCATAATTTTATAATTATCTAACAAAACTTAACTTTACTACCGAAAATTAAATCCAGTGCTGGTCTAGAGCACACAGATATGATAATGCTTGGCTTAGAACATCTTCAGTCCGCATCTATGCTTGCCTCAATAATATCATTTACAGACAAAATTACTTCGTCCTACATCTATTTTTTCTCTAAAATAGAAATGTCTATGTTTATCTCAATTTATAGAGAAAATAGCACTTCTCTAGTTTTTGTTCAATAAATCATATCTCTAGTGTAGAGTTGCGCTAATATAGAAAAAAAAAAATACATTGTTAATAGTTTAGAGCCAATATATTTGGTTATAATAGTTTAGTCATGTCAAATTTAAAACCTTCAAGTTATTGCATGTTTGCTAGTATTTCTGTGTACAGCAAAATTGATGGACACGGTACTTTTGCTGCCACAAACCCTTCCTAGACATTATCTTTTTATTTCTCTAGAAGATCATATCTCAAATTAAGGGATCATTTCATTTTTCTAAAATAGCATTCCTCTAATTTATTTTCAATAAATCACACCTCTATTGTAGTGATCCTCTAATATAGACCAAAAGCCTATTGGTTTTGGATGGAGTCCACTCCTAATAATGATCACAAGTTTTTATTGGATAGAGTCCACTCTTATAATCATTCAGAAGTCATGTATTATGAAGGAAAAAAAAACAATCGTCTTTATCATTCACGTGGACACGGAACTACCAGTTTATTTTGTAGAAACTTATCGGAACCTATTTATGTTGCTAAAAAAGAAAATCAAGAGGAATGGTTCAACTTTTCCATGGAGCTCAAAAAATTCGTTTGTTTTAGAATCTATTTCTGATCTTTCTCTCTCTTTCATACCTTATGTTTCTAATTTTATCGTTGATTAGATTTCGTTGTACCCATTTGTTATTTAGAGTTGTTCTATTCAAGTGTGGCACATGATCTAAATTTGAGTAACAAAACAGCTTTTGATGGCAAAAAATGTCTAGTGCTCATTCCGGTTATAACTTATTTTGCGAAACTTGAATGTTAAATTCAGATAATATCATAGATATTGTTTAATATTTATACAAAAAAAAGAACAATGGGTGTATTGATGCATATTATGCAGTTTAACCTAACAACTTACGGAATTCTAATGATTGATTCCAGGTACATGCTATGACCAAATACTTTAAAGGTTTTTTCCCTAACCATATAGGTTGGCGTGATGATGATTAGGTCTAATGATGATGGCAGATGGAAGTACTAATTTAATCTTCTGTCAACAATGTTTTAGACTCTTTACTTTAGTCAATTTTTTTTCTTTTTTAGTCAATTTCTTGAAGGTCCATTCATAGTTTATACATAGTGCTGAAAATATATTACTGATTAGCTGAGTATCTTTTACCTGCCAAAGTAAAAGGTACTTAGTAGTCACAAAAGCACAAACAAAAATCATGTGGTTAAGAAGACTGCACAATCTCACTTACAATTTTTAAATTCTCATTCTATTCCAACTCTCACGTTTCTCTAATAAATACTGTCTGGTTAGTTTAAAGATGGTTTTGCCAAATACATTATTCTATTTTATTTCTACTATATATGCTGTAACTCGGGTCATGTTCGAACAGATGGAAAAGCCAAAGATTATCCTTGTCTGGTATGAAATTGAATACCTCTCAGAATAGACTATCCATGTGCACTGATTTATTGTAGATTCTTTGTTTTCCCACCTCAATATATATGTATATTTTTTTGTTTTTGAAGTATTTTAAAAATTGATCCACTAGAGGAAACACAGTAGGCCACATGCTCATGCTCTTTTTCTTTCCTTTTTCTTCTCCTGGCCAAGCCAAGCAGTACATCATCACTCTATGACATGTTTAACGACTGTTCACGTTTTGGAATTTCGGAATACATTAAAAACATTTATGAAATTATTGTCTATGATAGTTACAGTACATCATCACTCTATGGATTGATTCATTTGAAAAAACAGAACATCGTAGATTTTTTATACATCCGCCAATAATACATGTCCATGGTGGTTACTGATTTGCCGAATCTTTATTTTAGAATAAATTATCTGTATGTGTTACTTTCCCATGTGATATATTTGAAGGAAAATATGTCAAGCATGTGATGTCTATGAGCTAACTTAATTACCAAGAAAAAAACTTAATTACTAAAATGCTTAATGAGCATCTTTGATGGTACTAATTTCTACTCCCTGCGCAAAAACACGGAGCCGGAGTCATTGTTGTTTGCTTATATTTTATTTATTGTTGGTTTAATGAATTCTTCTAATAATACAAATAATGATGAAATAGAAAAAATGTAGCAAAAATGTAAACTGAAATATTCTATTTATATAATATGTTAAATATTATATATATATGCAAAGTAAGGTTTATAGAAATAGTTTAGCTATAATATAGTTTTCAGTGTGTAAAAATAAATGTTTATCTTGTTTTTTCTTTATGCTGTAAAGAATTTTTATACCGAGTTCGAAGGTCAAAACTTGATATAGTTCTTTATTTATAGTATTTATATTTGTACTAAACGATTTATCAAATTGAAAATAACCTTAATTTAAGTTAATATTTGTTGTTTGGGTTTCATTATATAGTTTTTTGTATATGGTTTTTGTAAGTTCGGATTTTGTTAATGAATGATGTAGCATTTTTATTTACGGTGTTGTCGACTGTAGGAATTCATTTTCCGGAGTCTGATAAACAATTAGAGTCGGTGGTGGGAAATGTTTTTATACAGGAGGTCAACTTGATATAATTATTTATTTAGAGTATTTATATTTGCACTAAATAATTTATCAAGTTGAAAATAACCTTAATTTAAGTTAATATTTGTTGTTTGGTTTCATTAGATAGGTTTTTGTATATGTTTTTTTTGTAAAATCGGGCTTTGTTCACGAATAATGTGACATTTTTATTCACGGCGTTGTCGACTGTAAGAATCCATTCGCGAGAGTTTGATAAACCTTTAGATTTGGTGGTGGTGATGTTTTTATACTGGAGTTCAAATCTTGATATAATTCTTTATTTCTAGTATTTTTATTTGTATTAAACAATTTATCAATTTGAAAATAACCTTAATTTAAGTTAATATTTGTTGTCTGGTTTCATTAGATAGGTTTTTGTATATGATTTTTTGTAAGTTTGGGTTTTGTTCACGAATAATGTGGCATATTTATTTACGACGTCATCAATTGTAAGAATCCAATCTCCGGAGTCTAATAATATATTAGAGTCAATTGTGAGAAATGTTTTCAATGAAATTATAGTAGGTATTAAAAATATAAGAGAAATTACATATCCATTTAGTAAATAACCAAAAATACTTAAATTTTGTTACGTTTTTAATTTTATTTCATATACATAATTTCTTGAAAATATATATTAAGAAATATGTGCTAATAGAAAATATGCATGACAATGTCGTTTTTTTGTTTTTTGGACCATTGGTTTTTCGATCCATTTTTAATTATTTTTGCGTTTTAGCATGTTAAGCTATAGGGTTTATCCTACTATTTTGGGTTTTAAAACAATAGTCCCAAATGAAAAAAGTATAAAAACATTAAAAACAAAAAACCCATATAATAATAATCCAAATGAAAAAACAAAAAAAAACTCTTAGA